CAAATTACCCAATGCATGGTTAGGGCAGCACAGGATCACAGTTCTGGATATCCGTGACCGGTCAGAATTGTCTCCATTCATTGCATTCGACCCATTGAGAAGCCTAGTTCTTGAGCAAATCCAAGAGATTCGATCATTACAGAAAGAGAAATGCCTCTCATTCTCAGCCGTGCATCTCAACGCACTCTGGGGCCGAGGTCTTCAACTTCGGATGGGAAGTTCAAACCCAGCCAACCTTGACTGTCTTCTGGTGGCACGAGAGGGTTATAAAAGGAAACCAGCAATGGTCGGTTGTTTTGTAGAGCTAAAAACTCAATTTGCAAGTTCTGCTTGCCCTGAGGATGAGCTTTACAACTTCATCGCCTCGGCTCTCCTTCTGGATGCTTATCCGCCTGAGATGCATCGTAAGCTATCTCTGCCTACAGCTTACTCTGTCACCCCTTAAAATCTTTGTATGGTTTGTCACTAATGATTTAAATCATCTTAGCTTTCGAGCCGAATATGGTTTTCAACGCCCTTTATCGGGCACATTGTCGGAAAGCCTGGGAAAGGGGAGACGCTGAAATAGTTTGCAATAAAGTTTTGCACCGCTTCATCGGGGGCTTTGTTCAATTGAGGTCCAAGGTCTCAGCAGACATTCGTCACGAATCGCTAGTTCAGTTCCACCGCCGATGGGGGGGTTTGCATTCAACAACAACTTGCTTTGCTTGCATGTGTGGACCACCAGAGCATATGCTGCCTTGCAGGCATGCAATCTGTGATAACTGCGTTGTCATATATGGAACTAAAAGTCCCCGTACGGAGTACCATATCAACCTACCGAAATGCCCTATCTGTGATAAGGCAGTGAATCTCACGATTCGTCAACTTCCACCAACCAAGGGGCCAATCGTGTTAAGCCTAGATGGGGGAGGGGTTCGTGGTATCGTTCAATTAGGGCTTCTGCGAGCACTAGAAAGGCGGATTGGCGGAATATCGATAGCACACATCGCCGATTTATTTGCCTGGACAAGTGTTGGTAAGAGCATCCGTGACAATGAAGAATGCACCTGTGATTGAAAGACTCTGATCCGTAAAAAAAGGGGCGCTTTTGGCGGTAGATATGATATTGAATGGCCTATCTGCAGAGGAGAGTTGCGCCAAATTTCCGGCTTTTGCTCGGATGATTTTCGGATCGCCTCCTAAACATGCACCAAAATCCTCGATATCCCGGTGCGCTACATGGATGAAAAGCCTGGCGTGCTTTTTAGCTGATTGTCAGTACGACTCGGAAAGACTAGAGGATGCCTTGCAAAGAGTGGTCGACCCCCAACGCCGAATGTTCGATGTCACGACGACAAGCTCCACTGGTTGCCGAGTCGCCATTATCACGAGTCGTACTTCTGATGGAAAAGCTTGTGTCTTGGCAAATTATCGTGGAATGGGCCAGCGAGAAGTGAATGCAGCATATGAGTTCCTTATCCCTAAGATGGCGGATGAGAATCCTCATGTCTGGAAAGTGTGAGTTGAGTTGAACTGTTATCAATTTGATTTGGAACTAACGAAGAACTTTGCTGATGAACAATACCAATAGAGCTCATTGCAGCGTCGCAGCTCCTTTGTAAGTGTCCCAGTAGCTTTGAAGACGGTGACTAATTACATGCAGCTTTTTCCGATCAAAATCCCTCCCAGGCTTTGGTGCGCTACAGGATGGCGGAGTCCGAGCCAACAATCCTCTGGCAATTGCGCTCAAGGAGTCAGTAGTCATCTGGCCCTCTGCGAAAACCCATGATCTACTCTTGTCAGTGGGAACGGGCTCATTTTCTTCTGTCGCTAAGCCAATTGAGGGTGCTAGTGGTATATTGCAAGACAGTGCTATCCCTCGCATGATCCGAGCGACGATGTCCTCTCCATGTATGGATGGCGAGCAAGGATTCCATGAGGCACTCAATTTTGTGCCAGATGTGGAAAGATCAAACATCTTTCGGCTGAATCACGAGTTGCCTGAACCACTTCCTCGGTTGGACGATGTGAGAAAATTAGAAGAGATGTCCAAGATGCATTTTACTGTTCCGACTGAACTAGTGAGAACTATCTTGGCGACCGCTTTTTTCTTCTTTGAACTCGATGAGTTGCCAATCAAAAGCCAAGGAGCCTTTTTCTGTAAAGGCTCAGTTCTGTGCTCCCGATCATATTCCAGGGACCTGGTGAAACTGGTCAGGGTGGAATTCCCAGGCGCAATGTTTGAAACGGCTCGTGGCCAACGCCTTGGAGACGTTGATGATGATGATGGTTGCCGCGTATGTGGATACTACCGCAAAAAGGTGGGATTTTCAATCAATGGACTTCATGAAATGACATCAATTGGGATTGCCGGTTCTTCGTTCTTCCAAAGGATTGGCGGCTTTCCAAAGTCGGTGCAAGAGCTCCTCGATGATCAACAAGCCAATTCCCACTTTGGTCGTGCAGACCATTTGGTTGCTTCCTGGCCCCCGAAAAGGAATTGCTACTGTTCCCCACGGGTTAAACGTCATATCAAATTCTTGGAGCCAGCCTTGATACACAAGAAGCGGCGACTATGAATTGTTACTGCACATTTGCTCTATGTTGACGTTCAAGGTGCTCAATTATTAGAAGATTCAAGGCTATGATTTCCGTACTGTGACGTGGGCCGGCTCCCACTGTCATTTGGCTCTGGTGAACCCGATGAAAGCTATCGAAACATTCGGTTTATATATCGCTGCGAACTGCCATGCGCCTGAATTCTCTGAATACCCACTGCTACTGTCTTGAGGACAAGCAGGGGATTTGGGAAGGTTTGTGAAACGAGGAATGATAGGTGGTCAGAAGTGAAAGAGTTATCTCCTTCAAAGGTCAAAAATAGAAAAGAACCAATACCTAAACAAGTCTAGCAATGATTGCTGGAGCTCAGTATCTCCCAATATCACTAAAGTGATCTGGTATGAGTGATTTAATCCAATTCCACTAACAAGGGACCCTCTACCTCTCCAAGTATACAGGTGTACATCAGAAAAGAAAAGGGGTATTTTGAGGCGAAATGGTGATGAATTGGGTCTATGGATTTCCCAAGGGTGTCAGATTCACTAAATGCAATTTTATCATTCTGTTTTATCATTTGTTTTTCATATTCTCTTCTGTTTTGCATCTGTTTCGCTAGATATTATTCATATACCGTTGTTCATTACGTTGGTTTATCGTTTATCATAGAAATTTCATCGTTGATGTTAGTACTAAAACGTATTTTTTATGTTATTTTTTCTTCAGGAACGACTTCACTTTACACACAGATAATCACGAATAGCCGTAGCCTTCCCGGAAGAGGGTTGTGCCCATGACCGAATTATAATCGAAATTTGACCGGGCTTGATATTTATCCAGAATGCGGCAATTAACCACCGATATCAACCGCTTTTCAAACCGGCGAAGTATATTCACAAACCACCGCACAAAACTGCATGCCTCTTCCGCCGACTTGAACAACCTATGAAATTGCCTGCTTACAATACGCTACAGCTCATTTTCTCATCTGCACTCACTGTTCTCCCACAAAATCTGCACAGAAGCCCTGTACCTGGCCTGCGTCAGGTTGCATCTGGTGGAGAACCATTGACAAGGGTGTTGGCGGGTAAGCCCACAACACCGTTGAACAGAAGACCACATTTAAACAAGCCCGCTGTGGAGGTTCCTACCGAATTCCTTTCCCAATTTTCACTGTACCGATTCTTGCATCAACTCACCTTCCGCTGTCATCCTCATTCGGAGGATTGTCTGTCACTAACATGTCTAGAACTAAGGTCTCTAAGACCGGCAAGCTTGCCTGGTCTGCATCGAAAAGAAGAATTCTCTCTCGGCTTCACCAGCACCGGTGGATGTCTTGGAAGGAAAAATCCAGGACATACTTCAGGCAGTTCCGCGTGAAACTGAGGTGCAGACAAACCACCTGTCACAGAAACATCACTCCATGCAAAGAACCTGTGTCTGAGGCCTCCCGCTGGGGGGCACCTCCGCCACGAGTCCTATGCGAAGAACCTTGGAGGTCCTGGTTGCCGTCGCCTCTAATTTACCCACCTAGAGGCTCCCGCACAGAAACTCGCCATCTAATCCATGCGTTGGAGGAACTGGCTGTTTCAGAATGCCGCCGGCTGACGATCGACTTAAATAGTGCAAACGAAAGATTGCTGTATAGACACGCCCCTCTTTACTAGACTTCTCGTTCAAGAATATATAGCGGTCATACTCTTTGTTATTTTGTCAAACTCTAATTGCAGTGTCCTTTATCTGTTCTGGTTAATTATCTGAAGACACGTACCTATTATTGGCAATATCCCAGTACGGTAATATAAAATCCAATAAAACTGATTTCGAGCGCCTCTGACTACCAGATAAGAAGATAAGCGGCAGCCTAGGCGATGACCAAGGAGGGCTAATGATTCGAAGAGTTATATAATTCAACTGCCACACCCTCTGAGACCAACCCTACGCGCTATGTCTCATACCTCCGCAAGTTTGTATATCGTATGGCAGCTGTCAATGCTGCACCGTATGATCCTCAGCGTTTAACCCTTCCTACACACCACCTGGATGGATATTGCTTGTTCACCTTGAGCGTATCAAAATATCTATTTGTATATAAGTAATGGTGGAAGCTGTGTGTCTGGTTTTTCTCCGGCAGGTCTGTTTGAGACCTATCTATAGTCGACTGTTTTGGCCTTCGAAGAAGACGGAACATGATTCTAATGGTTTCCTGAATACTGCGCCTAGTCATACTTGCTACAGCCACGACGTAGCGTTACGATGGGATTGATCGCCAGTACATTTAATATAATGATATCATCTGAATCACCAGGAACCGCCGCGCACAGAGCAGAGCATAAGCAGCTCCATGAACAAATAGGCAGGTGATGACAAATATTTCACAGTAAGAATGTATCCATGTAGATACTAAGACGGACTTCTCCGCTATCCATTATCAGTTGATTGATCTCTTGGCATTCCGTGCTTGGTAGCCAAAGATGCCAGCTTTGTTTTCTCCAAGGAATTGGCGTGAACAATTTCGACTGGACTCTGGCCTTCCCAATAATGCTCATTTGTTCGTCCGGAAACACAAATTGTCGCGCCTGAACACATTCTTTGCATATAGTGTGAATGCAGATATGTCGCTTCGAAGGAAGTAGGAACATCAAAATTGTCGCGAACTGTGATGCAGGTTGATGCTTCATTGCTCTAACTCTCACGCACTGAGCGTCTTTGCTAGCACAGCAAACACATTGCCACGAGACGAAGCCAAGCATGTTTCTCTAATAAGATCAGCAAATGCCCCAGTCATTGGGCAAGCTATATCATATCTCACCTTCTTTCTCTGCTGCACATATATATATATATATGAGATGAAAAGCGAGGTAGAGCACCGGAGGTTTTCCCTTATATATATTGCAGACTAAGCTGATCTGCAATCCTCCTATGACACACAGACTCGTTGTAATAGCGAAGGAATTCCTCGACATGTTGCCTATGCTAGCAAGCGAGCTTGTTTTGATCAAGTCTCTACCGCTATAACTTCGAATTGAAGTTGGTAGGAGTGGGGCTATTAGGGAATAGATGTTGAATGGGTTATGTGAGGACTTTTTCTGGTCGTTAATCAACCTAAGTGTAACTGGGGTAGTGCGTGGCCATCTGTTGAAGTGGTTACGATATAGACTGAAAATAACTGCTCACCTGGTCTAAGATGCCACTAACCTCTTTCAAAATATTTCATCCTCATCTGCGCCAACTCCAAGTGTCATCTTTCATTTACTTAGGAACACAAAAAGTGGTGGCTCCCTTTTGTCCTTGCATCCCGGTTAAGAACAGTTACTGCACTACAGTTATCTCGCTACCCATCCCCATTGAGAACACCCGCAAATTCTTAACTAGAACCTTGTGAGTATATCCGGCCAATCTTCTTCTGGCTCTGTATACAAGTTTTGTTTGAATCCCAGTTGTCGGAATGTCAACATTTGTCCTACCGGTTCCCGTAATCGTCTTTTCGCCGTTTGGGTGTTCATGAACACTCTCTCCCAGGGATAAACTGGTGCTGCCGAAGATGCCTAGAAGTAGCTGCCTGACTACAACTCCACAGGGTTAGTAGCAGCTTCTTCGCAAGAATCGCAACCCCTCTCTCAAGCAGCACTATCCCCAAAGAGAACTATCTCTCTCCTGGATGTGCAACAGCATCCTTCTCGATACGACTGCGTCCCAGTACTATACGTATCTATACCCGCCACAAGAGTCTACAATAAATCAACAAGCGGAGCCATGAAGGGATCCACCTCTCCTAACGAAGGACCCCCAAGATGGGGCGATGTTGCTGTATATTTCCCTCCCTGGAGAAGTCTGGGATCATTCTTACTGACATCCAGTTTAGCCAGCGATGACCAACTCTCGCTAATTATTCCGTCCTCCCTATGCTCATTTTGCCATGATTTACCTTGACCATGGTGGCAAGCTTGAGGTTGATAAATCATCTTCTATCCAAGAGCAAAACTCCACTGTGTTCACCCCAGAAGTTTGCCAGAATTTCCTCGAGATTCTGGATGAACGTATTGGCTACCATGCCCCAGTTCACAGTTTGTCAAAATTCTCAATATACGCTAATACCAATATATAGAGACAACGGACACATAGCAGGTTCGACACCCTTACAACGGTGGTAAGCCGCACCAGGATCAGCCCCCGGTACTAGGGGTGACCCAGAGAAGACCAAGCCTCAGGGGTGGCCTCCCGGTGTTATGCATAAGGAGCCTGACCACTTGAGAAAAGAGTGTATGATTTGCCTATATCCTTAATTCTTGATCTACTTGCTCACTTAATTCAATATACCGCATTGAACTCTTGCTTCAAATTACCCGCAAGCTCGGTACTTACGGTATTACTGCTGATAAACTCAAGGATGTTGCTGGCGACACTAAGCAGAGCTTGAAGCACACATCCCATGTCGAGATCATCTACGAAATCCTCCAGGTCCGCAAGATGGAGGAGCGCTTCGAACGAGGCGAAGTCGATGCTAACATGGTCGTCGACACCATGAACCGCAGCCCTAGCCCTAAGGGCGAAGAAGAAGATGACTCCGCCACCTCAGTCGCCATCGAGGAGCCCGAGCACATTTAACCATCTGACCAAGGTCGTCGAACAACTCGCATGGTCTGTCTAGAACATGAGCAGTAAGATCCCCTAAACAGTTATTTTTTTCCCACGGGTAAGCTGGAGCAATAACAACAACGATTGCATGGTCATGATGTCTGTGCAATTGTGAGGGCTACCACAAGACAGGATATATTCACTTCCTGATTGGTGATGATGGACAAACACAATTTTAGTCAACATAGCAGTGTTTAACAGGATGCTTTTTGTTTTGATCCCATGGCCCGGTCAATTATTACCCTGAGTAAAATATGCGTGGAGTGATCTCCGGTGGGGATCCAATTGACATCCCCACTCGTCATCCGCCGATTAAATTATATATCAAACACCCCTCACGAACTTCCCTCTGAGAAAAACTGGCCGTGTGAACAATTTAACGATATGTTAGCCCAGCAAGGTTCGGATGGTCACATATCTCTCGTGCAACGACTTGACCATTTTATCGTGCGCCAAAATATCGGAGGCTGGAGCTGTCCCCGACCACCAATTGGTTCACCAATGCCGCTCGCCGGAACCACCAGGCTCGCTTTGCCCGGGCGTCAAAAAACACTTAACTCGACACAGTAGCTAGAAGACTCGCTTGTTGAGTGTTGTTGAACAATCCGCCGGTTAAGACTCCTTACTCTGTTCTTGACCGTTTGTTCTTGACCGTTTGTTCTTGACCGTTTGCTCTTGACCGTTTGCCGTTCACCATTTATTGCTGATTGCTAACTGTCTACCGTTTACCGTCTGTGCGAAAATTCCAATCGTTGTTGTTAAAGGTACACTTTCTCACCTGTCTCACCATCTTTACGTCGCTGACCTTACCTCTGCTCTCCGTATCTTTTTAGAGCTTTTTTTTTACGGTAGAATTCGAAAACAATTTACCCAACACGCAGACGGATAGGTATATGATATTAGCGCTTCTAGCTCTAATGGTTAGTACATAATGCCAGTCTGACCAGAGTTCAGAAATTTGGTTACCTCGCACCCTGCCCTCAAGCTGCTGGAGGAGTAGGAACCATGCGCTTAGAGATTCAAATTACTGTATTCTCGGGGATAAAGACGACTCAACTCTGCTTCAAGCTAAAAATGAACGGTGATTGGCACGGAAGATGGCACCAAATACGAAGTAAAATTAAATGCACAGAAACGAGTAAATGAGAATAGTGTGTCCTGAAGTAAGCATTTCCTATTACGTATATTTCCTTGGAGTCAGGATAGCAGGGCATAACTCCGTGCGATATTCTTATTATGGCGGACTCTATACGTTGATAGAGGTCTTCCGCCGCTGCAAGTTCTTAAACATGACATATAGCTCCAACTTGTCTGGCTCTTGCATTGAATACGAGGGCCTGGACCTGTCTAGATATGGACACCACGCTTCTAAAATCCCGATCGTGGTATCCTACCGGCGTGCTAGCGCGAATGTCATCTGATTTCCGCCGCTACTATCATTCCTACACTGCTATGACTCACACGAGGGAAGAGAAAGGTCTACCGCTAGGTATATACGATAAGTCCACACCCTCCCCTACCTATATTGATTGGTGCTATACATATCGCGTCGGCTCCCTCCCGTGTTGCCGAAATAGTGATCGACGGAGTGACTACCCAACGGTATGGCCGTACCGGATTTGAATGAGAATATCAACCCAAACGTCCGTGCCATTACATCGAGCAAGGACCCTTCCCAGTGATGCGCCGATAGGTCACCTTTGCTTTATGCTGTATGATGAAGCATGTAGGATTGTAAGCTCATCCTGGCACACCCAGGGGCAAAAAACACTTTGATTCAATGAGATGTCAAGCAAAGAATGGCACTGATAATATTTTGATATCGAAACCGGGAATCTGCTTTTTGGTCTCAAATCAATCCACAAGAAAAATGATATTAGATGTACCCTAGGAACGACCCTCCGAACAACTTCGGCCATGTGAGGAATTTAGTGATACATACAGTAAGCTCCGCAGAAATCAGACGTGTTCATATGGAGCCTTCTACTCTTCCCCAAGTGTTTATGGTTGTTATTTCCAACGGCTGACTGATACACACTGCGTTCAAATCTAACTATCATCCTAGCGAGGAGGCAATTGATTACGGGCATGTGTGATTAACCTCATTGTTTCAATAAGTAACAAATACTGTAAGTCATTTTCTTGCAATGAGTGTAGTAAGGTGTCATGTCTGGTTTGGATCTATCAACATGTGTCTAAAAGCCTGCAATAGTATCCTACTTTGCCATCTTCAGAATAAAGACGAATGGAGGTGGCAAGGTTCTGGATCTTGGGGGAAGCCAGGACCGTAGACAACTCGTAACCGAGACGCCTTTGTCTTTCAGCTTTTTTCACACTCTGTATGTAGTCTTGCCGTTCCTCCCACCGATTTTGTATCACCGGATCGATAGGGTATCCATCGCTGTCATATTTCGATGGCAGGTCAATTGGCGGGGGCACGGTGTACAAAAAGGCCGGGAATTCCACTGCCTCCCATGGAACCGTCAAAGCACCTTCCCAGTCAATGATTGAGAGAATATTGTATGCATCGTCGATGATAACATTACTGTGATAAAAGTCGGGGTGATGAAGTGGGAAAGGCCCCTTGCTTAGTTGAAGTGTCCTGGCTGCATCTTTCAGTCGAGAAGGAAACTGTTGGATCGAGAGCATAATTTCATCCGCCATATGCGACGGCAACTGAGAACGTATTGTCGTCTCTCCCATAGGAAATTTGGCATTGTCTGCCCATGCCATGAAATAGTCTTGTGCGGTTTCGAACGGACCCCCTAAGCCGGGGATTGGGTCAATGTCGTAAGACCCGTTTGCGCGGCGTGTGATCATGCCAATCTTCGGGAACCGTATTGAGGTCATGGCCACCTGTAACTCAGTCAGATATGTCACTGTAAAGTCCCACGGTTGGATTGTACCTGAATAATGGCAATATCACTATGAAACTTGGCCTTATGGCGTAATGGTATTTCTCCTCCATGGATTTGCGGCCCGCCAAAAGCGTTCATTGCTGTGCTTCCTGGAATGAAATCCATGATCATAAAGGCACGTCCAATGCGTTCTTGACATTCGTCATACCCAATCACTCTTGGAACGGGGATATCCGTCTGTTCTTGGATGATACTGAGTGTATCCTTCTCAGAAAGCAAAAGGCTCTTTGAGTACCGCGTTTCCTGGTGCAGCTGTATACGTGCAACCCATTTGGTATCATCATCAAAAACAAGGAGACGAACTATGTGCACCCCACCCATGCTGTATATTGGAGGAATCTCGCATTTCGGGGGATGTGCTGTGTCTTGAGATTGTGCACATTTGATGCTGATAGCGTATTGTTTGAGCGCGTCCCAGTCAATTTGAGGAATGGAGGGCTCTTGGCCAATATTACTCTTCCAGTTTAAGCGGTCCATTGGTAGCAAAAGAGATTGTCGAATTGGTCCGTTCTTGAAGGTCTGTAGAGTTGGAACTAATCTCAAGAAATCAAAAGGAGCTCGAGTATTTAAGTAACAAGCTTAGTAAGCAGCTGAACCATCACATTTCTACGCTTTGTTTTACCGTTACAGTGGAATTCGAAATCAGTTTTAACTCTAAACTCTTCCGATTTCATTCCCGGACCCTAAGTGGAGACACACTAATCTAATTTTGGCTCTTCCCCTATCAATCCATGTAGGGCTGTATTGTATTCACTGGTAACCACAATGAGTCATTATTAAAGTACCGTAATTTCTTGTATAAACCGATGGAATCCATCGTGCAAACAGATCAAACAAAAAGAGGATCCTATCAATCTGGCAAGATCTTTCATTCTCATATCTTTGTCACGCGCAGCCTTCGCCCACACTCTTTTGCATCCAAAAGAAGGCTGCAGTGATGCCATAGAGAACTTAACCTGGTACGCAACTTGTTTCCCTCAAGCTTTGGCTTCTGTAAACCACTGCGATTCTCATTTGTTACCAAGTCCGAAGGAAACTCGGTACTTAGGGAAGCTATGGACCCTCCCAGTACTGCAATCGTACTGTAGAGATGACACAGAGCCCATATCATGACGATTTCCTCTCCCAGCCCGAAGAGCCTGCAACTTGGGAAAACAACTCACAGTCCGCTCCAACAGCTGGTTGTTTCATCCAAGTGCTTGATTTTGAGGTTATTGGTTTGTTAGACAAGTGGTTCAGTAAATCCCGGATGCAACCAACCCGGGTGCAAATATATATATCTAACAACTGTGTGGCCTATCACCACAATCAACCTCAACACTCTGAGGTGACAAATCATGTAAACATATTCTATCCTTGCTGAGCATCTCCATATCCGGCTTCTTGTTGGACATCACAACAACATGTACTCTGCTAACATCAACGACCTGTTCCGGTCGGTACTTCGTAGACGCGATCAACCGATTCTTAACTTCTTCCACAAGCGAGTAGACACCAGAATACTCCACTCCTTGCACATAGCGAGGAATATCAACGACCATATTCTTGGTCATTCCTTGCTGAGTATACTGATCTTTCATATCAGCTGCCGCACCGGCATTGACCATAACCCAGCCTTTCTTCATAAGACACTTGACAAATGTAGATTTGCCCTCATTACCCTCGGGCCCGTACACCCAGTGGATCGTACGATCATCAGGGGCTTCTTCAAGCTCTTTGCATAATTGGATCTGCCAAGGGCGATCCATCTTCCGCAAATCATATTCATCGTGCTCGACGAACTCTTGCCGTAGGCGTTTGGCTTCGATCCTAACAGCAAGATCAGGATCACGTAACTGAAAAGATTCAGGGTCTTCGTCGTACTCAGCTTCAAGAGTCGCACGCTTCCGCTTCTTCGATCCTCTGGTGACACTAGTTAAGTCTCCGGGTCGGGGCAGTTGAACTGGCTCTTTCTGTCAGTCGCTGCGACATCGCGCCAAACTCCGTTAAAAGACGTTTACCGTTTCGATCCAAACGAAATTTAACAAATGCAACCATTTTGTTCAACAATTCTTCGAATATTGAGAATAACACGGGAGTCTTACCACTGGTTCCCAGGGACTGTGTATCCACGATAGGAACTTATAATTCAACCCCCCGGGGTATGCTCTGCATTTATAGACACATAGCCTTAGGTCTAGAGAGCATCTCACCTGTTATCACATGTGACGTAGTCACACTAGCACTGAGTGCCAAGAATTACCTATTCAGGTAAATTACCAGGCTTCCCAGGCTCGCCGAGCTTTTTAGCGCATTCTACGCTATTAGGAAAGCGGTCAACCTTTGACCGCCCTGTCACTGGTGGCAGTACACTGCCGTTACCGTACGGTACCTAGTACTAACCTCTTCGGGCGCGCTATAGCACTTTCTGGCCAATGGCCGGCGGATCCTCGCGGTATCTGCTGGCCCCTCCGTGTTCCCAAATTTCCCCCAAAGGGGGAATTACGTTGAGACTCAGGCTCAACTTTTTGGGGCAATGTTATGTATATCCAAGCGGATCCAAAAGGTTGTCCAATAATATCAATCCTAGATCATTGTCTGATCGAAATCCAGCTTGGGTAAACAGCCGTTTTCAATCAACTCTTTTTTATAAAGTGAAAAACATTACCTTGCGTAGAGTAACACTTTCGAGGAGTAAGGCTTCGCCCCCTTCAATCAATAATATGAAACTGGCAGGAAAGGGCTCTTCCAATACTAGACATTTTTTTACTAAGGTGCGGAATTCATCCTAGAGGAAAACAGCTATCTTATTTAGGTACAAACCGGGCTTTTTAGAAAGTCGATCGCAGAGGGCTTTGATCATCAGTGTTTTCACACTCCGTTTCCGCCCTATTCGAGTTAGGGCGCGTGCAAACTGCCAAATTGCCGCAAGTTTGTGCGGATATTGATAATCGTAGCCTAGCTGCATTCTGCTTCGTCGGTTATTTTAGATGTGCTAAGTGGCTGACTTTCTATCATATTGCGGATGAGATGCAGCTTGGATGGTGAGAGTCTTAGAGCCATTTTGTAAGGTTAATTATGAAATTTAAGAGAGATAAACGGGCAAAGATGGCTCGCTCCTACTTGGCGTGGACGGTATGTATGGTAGAGAATTACATTGTATGGCATCTTTGAGTAAGATACACGAGGCAGAATCCCACCTGCGTTATGTAAAATACAGTGTCTATTCTTGGAAATCATGGATCGACCACTATTCCAAATATGGGCTAGCGTGTTTCAGGTTAGGGTTCGCGAATCAAGTCTCAAGAGTGTGGAGTTAAAACTGATTTCGAATTCTACTGTATGATGCAATTCTACTGTAGAATCTCTACAATTTGCCTAACTCAAAAAGTAGCGACTTGAGCAGAGATGTTACATAAGAGTCAACGAGTCAGTGATCCATGAAGATCCGAATATTTTTACGGTTGATACACAGCCTGTACTCTTTTCTCGTATCATGTGATTAGGGTGTTGGGAGTGTCGGTATGTTTTCAAAATGGAAGACGATGTTGGGCGCTGCTAGAAAAATGCTCACTAGCTCTAAAACCCATACAGGAGTGCAACTCGCTTATCGCATTCAACGTTACCAAAATTGACCTGGCGCAGCAAATTCATGTTGTTATATATAATTTGAGCGGAAGGCTTTCCTAATCCGAACTAGTTTACTCTGAGTGGGGCTCTTAAAAAAGAACGAGAGAGTGTGGAATTTAAGCTAATTTCGAACATGACTGTAGTCTTCGACAGATCATCTCTATACTAAGAAAAGGGTTTCTTCACCCAGGCTCTACCGCCAATTTATATACCACCCTCTCCATCTACTTGAAAAAGCCTTGTAGTCTTCCTGGGTTGCCATAAATGCTTTTCGAAACCCCGAAGCGTATTAAAGTATAAGCTCGTTCACACTAGCGGCTCTGTTGGTCCTAAATATCATTTATGCGGAAGTATACTCCTGCTTTGTTTTACCTACCGCATGTCTCAGTGCCGTTCAAGCAATGCGACTATAGCTTTGGTTTCTCCCTTAGCCAACCTCTTTTGTTTTAGAACTTCTACGACTTGTCACTACATGCTTGACTCGGCAAAGCAGCTCCCTTCTTTCTACGTCCTGCTGGACCTCATTGGAACTATCCTACACATATGGGGGACATCTTTATCAGTCTTGTGTTTAGAAACTTATGATGGGGAAAAACAATCCTATCGACCTGGTGTCACACGGGGTAGGGTGATCTGTGCCACTTAATTGATAATCAAACCAAGAGAAAAGAGAGAGCAAATGCTGGTTATCGGAGGCTTTGGGCTTGGCTTTATGCAGCGTCTCGCTCTACAACGCTATCTTTTCGAGTGTAACTGGACTGACCGCATCTTATATCTTTCTGGGTTTGGTTGGTGGCATCGGAGGGTGGTTTTACTCCCGTGGATCTTGTCAAGTTTTGAGCAAACATTCCCCCAAGGTTTATACTGTGTCGGGGCATTCACCGATGCACCTATTCTCCCTGATTGCATCGACATTTCACGCTACAATTCTGGTTTCCCTTGTTTGTATCTAACAGACTTGAACACCTGATTGTATGAGACTTTAATTGAACTTACAGACGCGCTCGAAATCAGTTTCACAAATTTGTTCTCCTTCGACAGAAATAGACGGGTACGGCAATGTATGGGTCAAAATGACATATGTAAAATTCTCTAACTAACTAAAATGTAAAATCCGCCCTTTTTCCAATCTCTGCGGACATCGCTGATTAATCAATACATATATTTTTGTATGGTACCGTTATCATGACGGTCCATTGATTTTCCGGGTTGTATTTTCTTGTAAACTCCACCATGTGCAATGCATGGTGCTCGACATCCTTGATTGCTTCACAGCCTCTATTTTTATCGACGCTAGGCCCAATTTGGTTAATGTATATTTATTACCTTTTTCCAATTCGACATTTACGGCCGGGCTAGGCCAGATATAGGCCAAGGTAGGTCTGGCCAAGACAAAAGAAAGAACCACAGAGAATAAAATGGTGTAACTGATTTCGAACAATACTGTAAATAGATCATCTGTGAGTGGGACGCCAGCTCTTTTTTTTCCCTCATAGGATGTTCATTTTTTAATGTCGCGATAAATATTGCGACAAAGAGCCCCACAGCTTATTACAACGCCCTAAGATAGTGATGGCTGGCAGCTTTGGTACGGTATCGCTGGCTGAGGTACATTGCTCATAGTCTTGCGGTGACTTGTGGACTGTATGCTGAGGGCTTTTCTTCTGACAAAGTTAGAATTTCACTCAGGGAACAGACAGAGCAAAATCTTACTATGTCCTGCCTAGTTGGCACCGAGATATCAGGGTGGGAATAGTAGGTATAGAGCCGGCCATTTGGCATTTCCATGACAACCCAGCTCCTGATGGAATACAGGCGCCAAAAGTCATTATGACGGCGTAACAGGTTTTTCAGGCGCTTGGGCAATTGCTCCCGCTTTACGCGGCTGACTTCCGGTGCCATCAAGATAAAAGTAGGTATTGAGGGGGCGGTTGATGTGTATTGGGAGAAAGGAGTCAAGGTCTCTTATTTATTCCGATGCGGATTGATATAGAAATTTATTTTTGATATAAATCATGTGGCAGGTCGCTTTGAGAGTCCTCCGGAAAGCACTGCTCGGTTATGTATCGGTCAAGTGCGTTTGCTAGATTTTGAACGCATACCCAGAGTCAATTCCTCGGGCTTCAATCAAAAGGTTTCTTTGTTCCTCATTGCTATGCGCTCCTGGTTTCCGAACGCGAAGTTTAATTGCGGCTATTTAATATCTTTCCAAAAGCCTCAATAAAATTTACGCATCTAGAGCAAAACCACCAATGTGGAATCTAGTGTTGATCATATAGGCTCAGTTTTCATTGAACTTGTGCTAAGGTCTTTCAGTAGAAAGCTCATCTAGGAAGAGATGAAGTTTCCTGGGGAGGTTGCAGAGATAAAATGGGTGTCTTGCCTCCCGTTCAATGACAGTCTGGATGTCTACTCTTGGCTCACCTTGCTTTCATTGAATCATGAATAGGCAGAAAATCGTGAAATTTCCAAAATTTCCTGCATGTCTGGGCATGTGGCAGCAGGATTGTCTGCTTTCGGTTGGGTAACTGATCCTGTGCCTCTACCGGACCTACCAATTCGCCGAAAGCAAAATCGGTGTAAATAAAAGCTGATTGCAAATAGCAAACTAGCACCGGAAATGCTCCCCACAATTAAACCCACACCATGGCTCGACAAGGCCCGAGATGCGCGAGAACCATCCATCGTCAATTCTTCTACTGGATTTTTCGTGGCGGTCGTAGTCGCCGGCACCGCTGTGGTTGAATCCATGAGCTGGCTTTTGGTGATCGGATTGGGCGTGCTCATGTCTAAGTCGTCGGATTTGAGCTCGTTTCGCGTTGTTTGTGTAGGCCGATAATGACGAGAATGTTCAATCAAATGGGAAGAAGTTTCCAGATTCTCTGTCACATAACTACCGATTTCCATTGGTTTCGACCGAGACACAGCACCTAAAGTTCCCGGAAATGTAGCTTTATCGAAGGAACCCATTGAAGTTTGGCCAGAAAGGCTTTGGAAGTCTTCTATTGAAGATGAAGACTTCATCGAAGTAATTTCAGGCGGCTGGTGTAAAGTGGCTTGGCCCGAGGGAACATAAATGACAGATTCAGTGCTTCCTGTAAAATCATGATCGGAATCAACTGATGACACTGCATATTGTGATAAATTGGGGCCATCGTTGGCTGTTTTCACGATGCCTGCTTCAGCTAAACTGAAAGGCAACGTGCGAGAGCTCTGTTGCTCTTGAACTATTAGTCCGCTGCTCCCTAGCTCATCGTCAACCTTGAGATATCCGGTTATACCATCGTTCTTTTTACTAGAAGTGCTGTGGGTGCCTGACCAAGTGACGATAGGAGTGTCTATGTCTGTCTCCGGTGGAATTGCTTGAAGTGGCGAGATCCAACTTTGGGCTGTTGGGCTTGAAAGGTGTAGCGTAGTCAATTGCAGAAAGCTTGTAGCTCTTGGAGCATTAATATCGGAAGATTCTGTGACAGTATTAGACGAAATTCGCAGTGATTGGCTATAAAAAGATCTCAGCAACCATGCTCTTTCAAAACTAGCCAAACAGACCTTGATTGACCAACGCTTTTGGTATTAAATTCTGGTGTTCTGAATTCAACATTTCTTTCTGGCATTTCCTGGATGATAGATTTATGCTAAGAGTTTGGACATTCCAGAACAAAATGTGGTAGTTGAAAAGTCAGCCTTTGCTAGGAAATAACGCAGACTAAATAAGCCTATTGTGGTATCCGCATTTTTCGAATCGTATGGGGTCGATAAATACTTCTGCCGGGCTTTTAGGGTTCCACTGCAATTTGTTCCAGATCTCCGTGTCTGCCATTCAATAAATTTATGTAATTTGTTGATGCCCGAACCATGAACACTATCCTATAAAGCCTAACATAGCGGGTGACGTTACCCCTCAAATTACACCTTGTACTAACCAACTCGCCATTTAGCCTTCGCCCTTATCGACATGTTCCGCGCAGGTTGATTCATTGAAAAGTAGGGGTAAGATAACCATTGAGGCCTTTACTTTAATGTCAAATAATCCACACAAGTGGATGATCAGCTACACTTGGCTTTAAATGTAGCCCCAACCGGTTAGTGCTCAAAACTCTGCCTATCTGGCGCATTCGAGTTATCTACTAGTTCAGTACAAATTTATCTTCATGTTGCTTGAAGTACGCTGAAAACTTAATAAATCGCCATTTTCCGGGTTTTCATAAGGCCCGAAGTATACAAAGGCGGGGCACTGCCTTGACATGGCTTTTCGATATATATGTTTATCCAAGCCCTTATTTCTCGGCGGATGGTCCTCGTGAGAGTTGATGCCCTCAAAGCCTGCTACAGCCTATCACTATCTGGCCATTGACTAAAACCAAAGAGGAAATCCCACTGCTTAATTAAGGGTGTTACTTTCTGATGGGCTGTATCTCTCTTTTCTATTTCAGTATTTGAAAATATTAGTTGAACTTGTTTGGGAATGTCTACCGGAATAGCAGATCTCGTCGAATATTGAGGACCACGATTTGAAAAGCCCTCTGGTATCGTAGTACGTATCCCCGCAATCACAGCGGGTATTTTATCTCATCAGCTATAAGAATAGCTTCAGATGGAATGTCGAGCCAGGAATTTGGATACGCCTTTTGTTCTCACACCGTAAGACAGAGCGCTCATGCCTTTTCTGAAACCACTCATTTGGTTCATCTTCATGGTCATTTTTTCTCTGGTTAGTGGCTTTTGTTAAGTTACTGGGACTGATGAATAACCTAACTACTCTAGACATTTGGCCTTGTAATTCGCTCTGCTGAGTATAGAAGTAGTGTCAGTGACACTAAGGATATTGCGAGCCTGATCTTGGGCTAATAGAATTGAAGCGACATTCGTTAGGCACTTCTCATAGTCGGTCCCAGCGATGGGAGGT